CAAGGTCCCTCGACCCTGGATATAGCAATGATGTGCAGGTCTGCGCACATCTCCAGTAGACCCTGTGAGGGCCGGAGCTGGTAGCTACCAACATGCCTGTGGAGGCAGCCAGATGCTCATCTACCTGAGGCAATAGCATCCCAAAGGCATTCCTGCAGCCCTGTAACCTTTGCATCAGGTTGCACAGTGCCCTGATAAGCCTAAATAAAAACCAAAAGAACTACGGATGCTGTAAATCAGGAACAGCATCAGTTCTGAGGAAGGGTCACCGGACCCGAAACGTTAACTCTGTTTTTTCCTTCACAGATGCTGCCAGACCTGCTGAGCTTTTCCAGCAACTTTGTTTTTGTTCCAGATTTACAGCATCCGCAGTTCTTTCGGTTTTTATTTAGTAGTTCAAGTCTTCACTAACCGGGAGTCGGCGTAAAGGTGGAATTGAAGTCGCAATCAGATAACTATGTTCATATCAAGTGGTGTAGGTTCCGGGGTTGAATGGTCAACTAGTGTGCCCGATTTGTGTGTTATAAAATGTATATCTAGGCAATTTTGTCAGATAGATGCTAGTGTTGCAGATGTACTTCAGTAGCTTGGCTAGGGGTGTGGTTAGTTCTGGAGCATGTCTTCAGCATTGCTGCTGGATTGTTGTCTGGACCCATCCTCTTTGCAGTATTCAGTGTGCTCAGCTGTTTCTAAATACCATGCAGAGTGAACTGAATTTGCTGATGATTGGAATCTCAAGATGAGATGGATCATCTACTTTTGATTCTGACTGAAGATGATTTTAAGTTTCAGCCTTATCTTGTGCATTTGTGCAGGATATTAATCCTGCGATTGCTTAACTCTCCTTTTATAGAATCCATGCCATGTAGAAACAGGCCATTCGGCCCAAAAAGTCCACACTAACCCTTCTGAAAAACATCCCACCCGGACCTATCCCCTTACATCCCTATAACCCTACATTTCCCACGGCTAATGCACCTAACCTACACATCCCTGAACACTATGGGCAAATTACCATGGCCAATTCACCTAACCTGCAAATCTTTGGACTGTGGGAGGAAACCGGAGCACTCAGTGAAAACCATTGCAGACATGGGGAGAATGTGCAAACCCCGCACAGACAGCTGCCCATGGGTGGAATTGAATCCAGGTCCATGGTGCTATGAGGCGGTAGTGCTAACCACTGAGCTATGGTACTGCCCGTCTCCTGTTTGTGAACCCAAGTCTGTCTCTTTAAGAACTCTGCAGTCAACATTCCTACCAACGTTCTTGTGGATGGATGCATCTTAGATAAATAGAGATGAAAGTGTCAAGTAGAGTTTCTCCCATATCTTGATCTTCATTGTCTGCCAGTTGCTCAATCCTTCACATGCCCTTTGGAACCTGGCATAGTCAGTCATGCTTCTATACACTCTTGATGATGGATGCTCGAGTTTCCAAACAGAGTAGCTTCTTGGCCCCTGCTTATTTCTAGTATTTCTTCCAAATGACTTGAATATGAAGGAGTACTGAGTCATCAGTGATGGGAAGGTGATAAGTGGTGATCAGATAGAAATTCTTTGTCTGTGTCTGACCTGATGCCATGGGGTACAAGGTACACAGCAGATGTGTTTAATTATATCATACATGGGTCCAAATTGTTGGACTTATTTAACAGTTGAATATATTCTGCTTAATTTACAGGGTTGGGGAGCTGGTTACCAAGAGATTATTAAAGAAAACAAACTATATGAAGAATATTACCAAAGACAAAAAATTGTTCCGGAGGGGGAATGGGATCAGTTTATGGCAATCATGAGAGAAGCATTGCCAGCTACTATTCGGATAACTGGGTATAAAAGGTGAGTGAGAGAGAACTGGATTAGTAGCCTGAATATTTGTGGTAGAACGAACAGTGAGACCACTGTAACAGATAAATCAAAGGCAACTTCCAGTGACTGCTGATGCACAACCCTCCCTGCAGAACTGAACTAAACCTCCTTTGAGAAGCATCACTCTTAATGCCAGAAGCATCACTCTTAATGCCAAAAGCATCAATAACATTTAATCAAACATTGGGAAGTTAATGTTGTGGTTGGTTGGCTCACTGAGCTGGTTTGTTCTGCAGACGTTTCATTACCCTGCTGGGTAACATCATCAGTGCAGCCTCCGATGAAGTGCCGTTGTGTTTTCCGGCCTGATTTTTAAACTCTGGAGTCCGTTGAGCTGGATTACCTCACTTCCGGTTTCCCTTCGCAATGGAGCGTATATGGGGTCAAGTTCTATGTGTTTGTTGATGGCTTTCTTTGTGGAGTACCAGGCTTCTAGGAACTCCCGTGCCTGTCCCTGCTTTGCTTGTCCCAGGATCTTGGTGTTGTCCCAATCGAATCGGTGGTTCTCCTTATCCACATGGACAGGCAAAGCAGAGACAGGCATGGGAGTTCCTAGAAGCCTGGTACTCCACGAGGAAAGCCATGAAACGTCTGCGGAGCAACAAACCAGCTAGGCGAGACAACCAACCACAACATCCACAACCCAAGCTAAAAATCTACTCCAAAACATTGGGACGTTAAGTTAGGGTGCACCGTCATTGGATTACCAAGAAAAACCATAAAAATTTTAGTATGTATTCATTCATGTTTAAGTAAATTTTTAATTGTTTTAATTACTTTCAAACAATCTCTGGCATTGAAAATTTGCTTTTAAAAGGTTGACGTCTTAATCCTTCAGATTTTACTTGGTGTTGAAGACATAAAATGCAACTAAAACCTGTTTTAAAAATATTTGCTTTCTGTTTCTTGTGTCTCTCAATTGCATTTTTCTTTCCCTATATTTTGTTTGCTGTATATATGAATTTGGCGTAAAATTAATTGCTTGGACTCGTACTTCCATGCTTAGAATACATGGCATGGGCTTTCTGATGGTCACGTAGGAGTTTCTGCAAAGTAGATGGGAGTTGTATATTAGAAATTCTGCAGGATCCCATCATGTCAGTCTCTGAGGGAATTATCCAGAAAATTGATTACGCTTGGCACTTGCCCTGTGCCTGGAACCCGCTGAGTGTCCATTTTAAATGAGAGAATTTGGATGGTTCTGTTGCAGCTAAATAAGTAATTACTCAGGAAAAGTTAGACTATTAAACAAAGCCTAGACTGTTCCCGGATAACTAATAAATTTAACCTCGTAGTCCTTGTTCCCCACCCCACCGGACCCTGACCCAACAAATTCCAGCTCTGCCTTGGATGTAACACCCACTTTGTCTTCCAGCCATTGTACCCTGCCCTCCTTGAACTCTAACCTCACACTTGGCTTACATGCCAATGCTTTTAAATGAGTTCTCAAATTAGTTTAGGCAATCCTGGATATTTAAATCACAGAAAACAGTGCCTTGAGGAGCCCTGAGAGTCTCCTGTCAGAATTTTTGGACAAAAAAGGAGCAGAATGGCGATCAGAGTGTGATTGCTACTTGAAAAATCCAGCTCCACGTCCCTTGGTAAGGATTTATCCATCTGGTTAAAGCAGCTACACTGTTAGTTGCCCAGATACTAGAACCCTGTAAGGAGGGTTCCACATCGTTTTGGACTTTGGATTGCTGTGGATCATATTGCAAGAGTCTGAGAGTGAGTATGGCGAATGACAAGCGTATTCATTCAGGCAAATGTGCCGGTAGTAAGGAAAAGAAAGAAGTTTCATTTTTTAATAATTACCTCAATGTCGCCTGTAAGCTCCATTAAACAAATTTTTTTTAAAAGTGCAGTCACAGTATGCATTGGCTAATTAATGCATGGCAGCACCCCACAAAAGTGTCCTGTTACTGTGGCAGTATCAAATGCTTGGGGGACATGATGTTGAATGAAAAATCCTTTGTGGCATAATTTCAAACATAAAAGAGGAGAGTTATCCCAAGTCTTGTTCAATATCTATCCCTTAATTATCATAAAAATCTGGTCATTGCCATACTGTGGGCACTTGCTGTGAGGAAAGTAGCTTCTAAATGTCCTTCATTCTAATGGTGACTGCCCTTTAAAAAGTATTTCATTGACTGTAAAGTGGACTGTATAGCTCTCTGAGATGCTCTGTGGTCATGAAAGGTGCATTATAAGTGGAAGTCTTTCACGTTTTTGTGACATTTTGACGTGCACAATTCAGAGATTTACATTAGCTAACCACTTATCAAGTGTCTTATTATGAAAATAGCTTATCATTATGCTTCTATTTAGAGTTTCTTCCTTGTAATTGCAAAGATTGAGAGAGAACATTGCCAAAGCAATATAAGTTTTTGCTTTAAGCATATTTTTCTTCCCAACAATATGCGTCAAGATTGTTTTTTCATTTAAAAAAGTGTGAATTTTTTTTTGCACTGTGACAATACAATGTTTTTTAATTTTTACCCAAGATTGAAATGCTTTCTTACAGCAGTATAGATCCTTTTTAAAATGCAGTAGTAAAACATGCAATGGAGATGTCAGCTGCTGACATATTGGTGGCTCAGTCACACTTCTATCCCAAGTATCATTGTTGAATTGATTCTTGAAAGTATCACTGCCATTGGTCATCCTTTTTTTTAAAGGAACGGTCATTTTCCATTTTAAACTTGTTAGCTTGTTTTATGGAAGATTTTATTGAGCCAGGGATTTATGTTTGGCATACGCCCTTTATGTATTATGTGCTTCAAAAACTTGCAAGGAAGCCAGGAATTAAGCATCCTTCACTGTGAAACCTGGTTTTCTTGAACAAAACCAAATATTTGCCACATGACGTTGCTTGTTCAGAATTTTTGATTTTTCTCTTTGTTCTTTTCCTTCCCCTCATGTTTGTTTTGTAAAGCCACGCAGAAGAGATTTTGCATTGTCTAAAAACAAAGTATTTCCAAGAATTGCAGGACTTGGAGGTGGATGGGCAGAAGATTGAGGCCCCACAACCTTTGAGCTGGTAAGAAATCTTCACATGCATGTGACAGTGAAGTTGTACTTTTCAACAGCTTTGGTTAAATTGAGATTTCTTTTGCAGGTACCCAGGTGAATTAGCTTGGCATATTAACATTAGCAGGAAGATGCTGAGAAAGTCACCAGTCTTGCAGAAGTTCCATCAGTTTCTTGTTAGTGAAACAGAATCTGTAAGTATTCATATTCATGGGGGCCAAAAGTGCAGTAAAATGATGAAAATTTTCACAAGTTGCAATGCAAGGGAATATAATTCTCAGTTTACTTCACAAATGTTTCTCTTGGTGTATGAATGGATTGCAATTCTATTTTTGAAGATGGCTTAAACTAGTTAATGTCACAAATGTAGGAGTTCAGAATACATTTATACCTGCTAATTATTAATTTGCAACTTTGTTTTGTAGTATGATGGAAAATGCATTATCTTCTTCAACCCTAAAGATTTTCACAGCTAGGGGAAACTTTAACAATGCAGACAGATGTTAATCTTTAAAATATTTGATTCTTTATCTTAACAAGATAGACTAGTCAAAATTAAATTGCTGAGATAACAGGGTGTAGAGCTGGATGAACACAGCGGGCCAAGCAGCATCAGAGGAGCAGGAAGGCTGACGTTTCCGGCCTAGACCCTC